TGGTGTTTATCAACGACATGGCAAGAGTTATCTCCTCAACTTTCCTGCTTTTGCCGATGACGTCAAGGTATAGCGGGCGATTAGTAACAATGAAGATCACGATATACTCCAACATGACCTAGATTGTATTTCTGAATGTTTAAAGGGGAACCTTTTACAGTTGAACATAGCTAAGTGCAAGGTGATCCATCTGTGTCACCAGCCGCTAAGCGATTACAAGCTTGGAGACCACACCTTGGAGAAGGCCTCTCAGGAGCGTGACCTGAGTGTTTTGGTACAGAAAGATCTCGAGTGTTCAAAACAAGCAGAGAAGCCGAGGAGAACCGGCGATCAACACTTCGGCCTGCTTCGCGGAACCTTCGGTCGGTTTGAGCCCTCAATCTTTCCCTAAATGCTTAACGTCTACGTGTGACTGCACGTGGAACATGGTATTCAGGCGTGGCTGCCGTGGCAGGAACAGGATCTCGTTACTATCGAGACTCCTCAACAAAGGGAAACCAGGAACGTCAGGGTCCTCTTTCATCTGTCCTATCAGCTCAGACTGAAAGCTGTAAAAATGTATAGCAGTCGATATCGGCGTTTGAGGGGGCATCTCATAATGGTTTACCAGATTCTGAAGAACGTAAACAACATTAGTCGTCTGATGCTGGAATTGAACCACAACACTAACCCAAGACGTCATCTTCTGAAAATGAAAATACAATATAGCCAGGTTGAATGCCGTAGAAATTCCTTTTCCCTCTGCGTGTGCCAACCTTGGAACGCCCTCCCTAATTATGTCGTCTCTGCTCCCAATCTGGTGATATTTGAAAAACAAGTTGACGATGCCTTGTCTTATTTGCATTTCATTTTATGAATTGTTAGCCAGCGGCTACAAAACGCAATCAAACCGTGTCTTACTAAACTCCCAACCAATGGATTTATGGATTTATACTTTTAATACGCGAACATCTCCGCTATTCCACATAAGTCTAATGAGGACACCAAAACGCTTTTCAGTTTATCATGCAATTTACTTCTCGCAATAATTTCTATTCCACGCCACTCGTTAAGCATTGCTTTTTTACCCGTGATATATCATTGTTCCTTTGTCCCTTTGTTCCATTTGCAAGCTAACTGGGATAAAGCACTACCTATCTTTCAATGCCATGCAGGTTACTAACTTAGCAGATGACAGTGGCTAGCCTCCGAATGTCATGACTTCCTCTCACTAGACACTACGTTCATAGCATTTGCAACTAGGAAGCTAGATTTTATATTACAAATGAATAAGAAGATTTGAGTTTCAATATCTTAATCTTCTCGTCCCAGCGGCTCACTAACTACATAGCACAGCCTAGTCCAAATAGCATGCGAAGCGTTTCGCCCTTTTGGTGCACATCAATGGGACGCATACCCTCATCCCTTAATGGAGATCGAATCCTTGACCGTTAGAAGTAGATGCCAAATGGCCAGCAGCTTAAGCTACGGAGCAAAGGTGGACTTGAGCTGGCCAAATAATTTGAAAGCTAACTGGGAATTAGCACAACCTATTTCCCACTGCCAACCAGGTTACTACCCAAGCAGATGAGAGTGGCTAGCCTCCGAAGGTCATGACTTCCTCTCAATAGAGGCTACGTCCATAGCGATTGAAACAAGGAGAGGCTGCCCTTAAAATTTCTAAATAGTCTGGGTGGGGTTTAACTGTAATAATTTATTAAATTGCTCTTAGTGGATCACTAACTATATTCCACAGCTGACAGGAAAAACAGTAGACGTGTTTCGCCCAATTGAATCTCGAAAGTGGCTAGCAGGCATCTCGCTCTAGCGGTCATGTGTTCGAACCCCAGTGAGGGAACAAGGTAATGCGCACCAATGATGAGCTCCAATAGGGCGAAACGCCTCAGGTGCTTACACAGGCTAGGCTGTGCTATGCAGTAAGTGAGCCACTTGGAGGAGAATAGAAATATAGGAAAACTAAATTCATCCGACTTTAGTCTAGGGGAAAGTAGGTAGAGGTCACGGGACGTAAATCGACACTGCCACTTTCAAAAGTCCCCTGCAGGTCGATCACGCATGGAGGGTTCATTCAGTAAGGTTGCACGCCGCATCTCACTGCACTGAGGATGCCACCTCGCATGGCGGAGAAATGTTTGAGACAAAACCGCCAAGCTCGGAGGACAAATGAACAATTGAATCATCCTACTCATTAGTAAGATAAAATGTAGCGTCTCCTAGTTTCAAATGCTATGGACGTAGCGTCTAGTGTAAGCTGGCGTCATTTGCCAAGGTAGTAACCTACGTAGCAGTGGAGGATAGGTTACGCTATATCCCATTTACTTTGCAAATTATGTGGCCCAGCCGACGTCCCCCATGGCTCAGTGGCCTACGCTGCTGGCTAGCGGGAGTCAACATCTACCGATCATGGGTTCGATCCTCAGTAAGCGACCGAAGAAATGTGTCAACATGACGAGCGCCAATAGGTCAAACGCGTCTGGTGCTATTCCGGACTAGGCTGTGCTATGTAGTTAGTGGGCCACCTGGACGAGAACAATAAAATTATAGTAATAATCCATAGTTCATCAGTACTATAAAATGCAGTTATTCTGAGCTTCAAATTCTATGGACGTAGCATCTAGTGAGAGGAAGTCATGATATTCGGAGGCTAGCTACGGTCATCTGCTAAGCTAGGAACCCGCGTGGCAGTAGAAGTCGCGGTACATACCAGTTAGTTTGTAACTCACGTGGCCTAGTCAATGACCCGTATGGCTCAGTGGATTAAGTAGCTAGCTACAGGGCATCTGCTTCTAGCGGTCATGGGTTCAATCCCCCGTAAGTGGCCGAGGGAATGGGAACAAATGAGGAGCCCAAATGAAGCGGAATGCGTCTGATGCTATTCCGGACTAGCTTGCGCTATGTAATTAGTGAACAACTAGGACATGAACATAAAAATATTACGATTCAATTCCGCCTCCTCATTATTAAGATAAAAATCTAGGCGAACATGATTTCGAATGCTGTTGACGTAGTGTCTAGTGTGGGGAACTCAAGATATTCGGAGGTTAGCCACTGGCATTTTCTAAGGAAGTAACCTGCGGGGTAGTGGAATGTATGTCGAGCTATATCCTAGTTAGCTTGCAAATAATGTGGCTCAGACTACGTCCCCCATGGCTCAGTGGCTTAGGCTGCTGACGAGTTGTCATCTACATCTAGCGATAACAGGTTCAAACCCCAGTGAGGGAGCAAGGGAATGCGTACCACTGTCGAGCACTAATAAGGCAAAACGCGTCTAGTGCTTTTCCGGACTAAACTGTGCTATGTAGTTAGTGAGCCACTGGAACAAGAAGGTAAAAATAATTAAAATAATATTATTCTTCTACTCATTAGTATAATAAAATGTAGCCTCTCTTAGTTTCAGATGCTATGGATGCAGCGTCTATTGTGAGGATGACATGACCTTCGGAGGCTAGCCACTGTCAGCAGCTAAGGTAGGTATATGTATGGCAGTGGAAGGTAGATCGTGTTATATCCCAGTTAGCTTGCAATTCATGTGGTCTAGCTGATCTCCCCCATTGCTCAGGGGATTAAGCTGCTAGCTAGTTGTCATTTGTTTCTATAGGTCATGGGTTCAATCCCCAGTAAGGGACAAGGGCAATTCGCACCACTGACCAGCATTTAATAATGAGGAACATAATTGGTACTCTTCCAGACGCGGCTGTGCTCTGTAGTTAGTGAGCCAATGGGACGAGAAGATAAGAATAATAAAACAACAACCTCCTAATCATTAGTAATATAAAATTAATTCTCTTATTTTGAATGCTATGGACGTGGCGTCTTCTGAGTGGAAGTCATGACATTTGGAGGATAATCACTGTCATCTGCTAAGGGAGTAACCTGTGTGGCAGTGGAAGTTTGGTCGTGCTATATCCCAGTTATCCTCCAAATTATATGGCCCAGACGACGACCCCCTTGATTCAGTGGCTTGCGCTGCGGCTAGTTGGCATATGCCTCTAGCTGTCATGGATTCAATTCCCAGTAAGTGACCAAGGGAATGAGCACCACTAAGGAGCCACAATAGGGCGAAAAGCGTCTGTTGCTTTTCCGGAATAGTTTGCTCTATGTAGTTAGTGAGCCATTGAGACAAATTTTTACAATAATAAACCAAAGTCCTTCTACTCATTTGTATTATAAAATGTAGCCTCTCCTAGTTTTAAATACGATGGAGGAGGCGTCTATTGACGGGAAGTCATGAGATTCGGAGGCCAGCCACTGTCATCTGCTAAGGTAATATCCTGCGTGACACTGGAAGATAATCCGTGTTGTGTTCCAGTTAGCTTGCAACTTAGATGGCCCAGCCAGCGTCCCCCATGGCTCAGTGGCTTAAGCTGCTGGTTAGTTGGCATCTGCCTCTAACGGTCATGGGTTTGATCCCCAGTTATGGATCGAGGGTATTCGCATCACTGGCGAGCACCCATAGCACGAAACGTGCATGGTGCTTTTGCAGAATAGGCTACACTATGTAGTTAGTGAGCCACTGAAACAAACGTTTAAAATATTAAAACTAAAATCTTCCTACTCTTTAGTAATATAAAATATAGCCTCTGTTATTTTCAAATATTATGGACGAGGCGTCTATTGAGCGGAAGTCATGACCTACGGAGGTTGCCACCGTCATCTGCTTAGGTAGTAACCTGCATGGCAGCCACTGGGACGAGAACATTAAAAAATCTTTTAGATAAAGCACAATTGCCATGGACTCCGATGAGCGATTACCTGTTATTTATCAAGACGTCACCCTCATGCATTAGGTTTGTATTTTGCTGGTATTATTTTCAGCCCAGAAACTATTCATTTGTAAGTGCTTGTTGTGGCTCGGAGACTCGTTTTCCGTTTGTGGTAGCCAATTCTGCAAATCAGACCTAACATTCCTTAAAGCAATGAAACAAAACGTAAACCTTTTCCTGCAGCGCGTTGTTATTGACCAATAACTAACGAGTTAAACCAATGAGACTCAGACTCACCATTGAGTTTTGCGAGGCCAGTGCTTGTGCGTACCGCAATATTCTCACCGTAGTCGTTAGACTGCTCTTTCTGCTGTGAGGTTGTCAACTCTTCTGCGTATGCTTGGGCCATCTGCATCAGCTTTGGGTCCAGAATCAAAGCTGGCGATCCATGCATGGCCCGAAGACTAAAATATAATAAGCAACGTTTCTATCGTTTACTATATGTCAAACAATGGTTCATGAATTAAAAAAGTAGCTAGGCACATGGGGCACAATGACACTAAACTTGCAAGAACTCACAGTTTCCGTATCTAATCATTGTGACAAGCTACATATGCGAATGTTGAGTACTAGTAAATTCCTTACTTTATTTGATGGAATATCCTGTCTTAATACCACATGAGCCAAATGAACGCAGTTAAAGGACAAAAATACAGTGTTAAATAGGCGAATCCCTAACAACAATGCTTCCTTCTGGCTGGGCTCCTTCCATCTAAAGCTTATCCAACAGAAAAAGGAGTTCACAGGTGCTTTTCACATTTTTTGGTTTTTAAAGATTAAACATGACTTTTTGAATCAAGTACTATCTGTAAGTTCAGGTAGCGGTGTAAAAGAAAGTTATCGGCCTTAGTGGAATGCACACGCTACCCGGATCACGCGTAACACAGCCTTGCCCATACTTGCCTATTACTTAGGCTCCAAACAATTAACTGTTAGGTTTGACAAATTAGGGTTAGTTGCACACTTAGGTGATGAGGTGACAGACACACAGAATTGGGATCTTGGTAGTTTTAGCATTGCCCCTTGAACGGTCATTAACTTGATAGTGTTCTCCCAAACTTCGTAGATACATTTTTAGGTATGGGTGCGAAGTCATTATGTTATTACGTGAAAGTACTTAAACGTGAAGGTCCATTTCTTGGGTCCGTTGGGTTTAAACCAATGTTATTGAACAGAAAGACAGTGTCGTGTAAAAGACGATACTCCGACAGAACAGGATGCGAGTAGTAGACTGTTCACAGGGCAAAGGAAAATTGGTCGACTTAAGTTGCATGTGTTTTACGCCGAAATGACTGGAAAGCTGGGAATAGTCATATAATAGAAAAAAGCAGGCAATGTTGCCTGGGATGATCTACAGGAATATTCGACAAGCAAAAACGCGGTAAATAGGTCCCTAAATTCAACAACATCCGATCCGGAAAATCTACAGCCGGATTTTGGTAACAAAGTGACACAACACTGCAAGATGAAATCAAAGTGGTCCAAAGGACAACTGAGTAATAAAAGTCGGCTGAGATGTCTAAGTGACGATAACTGAGCTATAGTGATGATATATGTAAAGACAGAGCGGTGATCGGTCAACAGGGCAGTTTACAAAGTGAGCGCTTGCAAGTAGCCGCGATGTGCTTTCACTAACATGAAGCTGAGCATTTCGGAAGTACGGTGTCAGCACACAGTTGAATGCGAATGCCTTCGTTTGGGAGAACTAGTAAACGATGGAATCAGTGCACTTATGGGGCGGTAACAAGACTATGATCGCGATGAAAAGACTACAAAGACTCGTTGACTAAACTAAAGGAGGACTTCCAAATTGGTCGTGCTGGAAGTGTCGGCCTAGGAATCCTCAATGCAAACTGAACACAGAAACGATAGCGCCACCAAGCATACGAACTGATCGTCACGACGTGGTTGTAAGAGCGCACTCACCGAGCAAGATGACCATTACAGCTTGGTATACCGAACAGGCGCAAATGGTACTGCACCGGTGAGCGCTTTCGAATATAACTAAATGGAAAGTACCTTTGCGGATGACGTCTATTATACCGATTCGTGTTGAAGAAGATGAGGAGGGTGAATCCATATGTTGACATAGTTGAGTAGAGCCAATGTTTTAAAACAAACTCGACATCTTTAATGATCATGTAAGCGGATTTTGAAGAGAACTGGTGTATTCGAAACGCGAACCATACCGTTAGACTATGAAGGGCTTAACAGGTTAGGGTTAAATTTGTGCTCGCATTATCACCTATCTGTGCCAGTTGCACTTATGTAGGACATAAATCACTCTTAAAGCTGTTCCTCAAACATAGAGGAGGGAAAGTGTTTCGTCCGTGGAATTCATAGGTACTCGCCGCCGCCTTCGTTTAGTGACTAGACACTCGACCATACCGTCCACTGTAGGATGTTACGCCGTCATCTGGACGTGGTGACAAGCTAACTTTTTAAGATACGTAGCGAAACTGGACAAGAGGTGCGACCTGCAATCGGTGGTTACGGAGACATACCGGCCGTACCGTGATGACAAGCGCTCTAATAATGCTTTGCCATCTTATCCGAAGAGCATCTAGAAACGGAAATGGCTTCCGATTACCTGGTGACATGACCGATCCAAGTCAAGAATTGTACCCAGCAAATTGAAGACAGACAGACGTGCAGGTGATGGAAAAATGCGTCGGAATTAAGAAATGTGTCTAGTAAGTTTTTCATGTTATTTTGCATCTTATATGTTGTCACGATGCAAAAACATCGGCTCAAGAACGAAATTTGATATTGGTACTGATCCAAACGAACCGTAAGGCTGCGGAGTTTGGTCGAGGCATGAATGCGTGGGTGGGACTGACCATGGAGCACGCCGGACGCAGTCTGCCGAAATTTATATGGCATGAGTAGGTACGGCGGAATCGTGTATCACAGAGTATTGCGTCATCTAATGAGGTTAGTGAAATCTGTAGGTGCCATTCGTGGAAGACTTGAGTAGCAAAGCTACATTATGGGTATTGGCCGCCAGAGAGATGGTAGGGTTGGCGTCGACACAGATCGCTTGGATTCGAGAAACAACCTCGGCGGTGGCTTTGGGCACAGCGAAGGTATTTTGTACATTGGTCTTAAACCGAGTGGAGCATTCTAGTTGGCATGACTCTGGGAACGTATTGGATGTTGCTCCATCCAATCTAGCGGGTCAGTGGCTTATGATAAACAAGGACGACGTGCAACCGTTTAAGATGCATCGAAGGTAATAACTTGGACAGGCTAATGAGCCTCTGCTAAACGGGTTGTAACTAGATTCGGGATGTAGCATGTGTTTGGACAAAATGTCTAAAACTTACCAGGTGACGTCTACTTTCTAACGTAAGACGGCGCCCACCGCCACCTCTGACCCATCCGAGCTCACTGACACTGGGGCCGCAGAATGTTGATTTCCTATGAAAGCTGTGCTGGAGAAAGCCACTTCTGTGAACTTTGCGCTGGTCATAACATAAAAATCAAATTCCCTGAGAATTTCCCGTAATAGGTCCGTGTGGGTCAACATAAGCGACACGCAGTTAGGTTTGATGCGGCGGCAGGAATTAACAAGGCCACCATAACGTCTAAGCTGACAGATAAATGAAACTCAAGTATTTCGGTAATGGCTTTGATCTTATCCTGCAGTGGTACGACGAATGTACAGGTGCTATGATGTCTAGGAAATTTAAACCGAACCAGCACTAAAAGAAAAGTCGCTTTAATATCCAGTGAATGTATGTATGAAAAACGGGCAAAATGTGCGGACGGGGTGTGGATGCTGCTCGCTTGAGAAGCTGGTAATCCAGATGTTACCTGTCATGATAAACTTAGTCGAGAAGACAAGTAAAATGAGCGACATCAACGTTGATTTACGTACCGTGCGAACACATTAGTTAAATGGCCCCGAGATAGTAGCCAGCTGGGGGAAAAAATGAAAGTGGCCATACTTTCGGCCGTATCCTAGACCGGAAACCAGAAGAGTCCAAAAGCATACGGTCCGGTTAAACCAAACAAAGAGAGTCAACGTTATAACAAATAAGTTGCATTATTCCACTAGGTACATCGTGAAGCGCAAATCTTGGATTATTTAATACCCAGTAACTCAAGAAAATGAGGAAACACTCCAGGTTGCTACGGTGGCATCTAACTTCGCTATTAAGTTGACATGGATATCTTCCCTCAACTTTATTTCTGTTGTAACGTTGCAATAAAATGAGCATCCTCGTACCTCAAAAAAGCAGCCTCAGAACAAGTCGTTATTAATTTGTTTGCGTATTACATCCTAAGTCCCGTGAACATTCAATGAGATGCCCTGGTTTGCTGACACAGGAGATGTTTAGTCTATCCAATCTGTCTTGAGTTATTAAAGAGCCCATAAGTGGATTTTGAGTGAAATTTCTTCTGTGATAATTTGCAGTATTCGGTCGAATAGCGCCTCCCCACCCAACAAAGAAGGTACTTCGAGATGTCATTCGCACAGAATACAACTTAGTTTTGTAATACTGCAGCATGCGCTAACTAAACTGAACTTTTTAGTGAACAAGGTAAAACGGCGACAGGATCATCTGAAGTACAGACCACTGCTTTTGACAAATTATTGCGTCGCAGAAGCGGGTTTCGTACCGCTGTGACAAAAATTCAGCCGTTATGCTTCTCTACGCGCTGTACTGATTTATCTAGTCTTAAATGGTGATTAATCAATGTACTCGCTATGTTCAGGTAGGTAATGTAAATCCTCTTGATATACGCACCGAGTGTTGAAGGAATATTCACAGAAGTTTCACAGAATAACCGCATATTATTACGTATAGATTGAAGGCATTCCTGATAACGTTGCGAAGTAAAGAGTTGCTTAGATTCCAGAAACAATCCGATTAATCAACATGAAGTCACTTACCGATTGTGTTCAGCCAAACATTCCACATTTACCTCCTCGTGTGCTGACACTTCCTGTTCGGGCATCTGATGGTGCTTCTTGGACATACCCAAAAATCTCGTTACCGAGCATTCAAATAGCGCTTGGCACCGTTGGAACAGAGGACTTCGGGTTCATAGGTCTTATTCAGGCGCCTACATCAAACGGTAATGCATCTCTGCCCATGTGATTTGAGAAAGTACAAAGGTGAACAGAGCGCATTTGGCGTCAGCGGCTGCTCTAACTTAGTGCTCGCCGAAAAGCAAAGCTGCTCTGATTAATAAATATTTCACTGTTCTTTGATCGATGCTCATGTTCGCCATCTTGGACGCTTGGTATGATGCTCGTGAGACACCATGCTAGCTAGTACAGTTTCACCTGAAAGCTTTGCTGTAGTGTTCAGTTGTATATGGTGTTTTCATTGCAGTATTAGCCGGGGTTCTTTTACTGTGGGGGACAAAGGCAAGCCAGTAAAGGAACCTACTGATTAAGATTTGTGTCGTGGCTGAGGTAAACTGACGTCGGTAAAGATTATATACAACGAAGTAGGTGGTCCTCTAAGATTGATCAGGCAGCAAATTTTAACAACTCATCTATTGATGTTCTCCAAGTTCTAACGTCCCGCGGTAAATGGTTCGTTGGTTCGAAAACCTCTTTGAGTTGAGGAACAAATATACACGTGAGTTGAAAGGATTAAGTGAATAAGCGCACGCGAACATTTAGTATCAAGAGTGAAGCAGTCTAAAAGCGGTGTTAACTACACACGGTGATGAGAAAATAAGGTTTTGGCAAGCACATATATATATATATATATATATATATATATACGGTTCTCTGCCGTGTATAGTAGTGCATGTGGTACCCCACTTCCAGAATATGAGGTTTCGGTGTATGCGAATAATCAACTTGTTATAACGCTTATGCTGCAACCGCGGAAGGTTGTAAATGAAAATTGTATCACATGCACACGCCCTGATGCCAGATTCATTCATCGACCTATCCCAGTCCCTGCTACCTCCATTGGCGTATCCTCTTTCGAGCTGGTCGCTCCTCACATGCCCAGCCGCAGCAAACTAGACGTGGGCGCGGAAGCTGCTCCCTTGAGTCACTGGTTTCATGGTAGTATAAGCCGTGAGGATACAGAACGCTTGTTAAAGCATCATGGCGGCAGCGGCACCTTTCTCATAAGATACAGCACATCTACACACAAATACGTATTGAGTTTGATACACTATCAAGTTATGTATCATTATCCAATCGAAGAACTCCCTGACGGGTTTTATCAGGTGAGTTGTGCATTTTGAATGTGTTATTACGTTACGAACCTTCTACAACACTTAAATATTTTCTTGTTTGAGCTATCACAAAATTCTATGCATTTTAATACTTTTCACCAAAATAGCTCATAGATATGCTTGCTGCATTCATAAAGCCTAGCTCTATGATGTCATGTTTCAGTTAAATTCCTTTATCACTTATTATTAAGGCTAAACCGGATCAGAGGTCCACTGCGGATACTGTTTCTTGCCTGAAGGACCTGCTGTTTTGTCTATCAATCGTCATCATCCTGCGCGTTACGTAGAGGTGGCAGACTTCAGTTATCGTTTTACAACGCAACCCTATTATACGGGAGTAAAAAAGAAAAGAAAGTTAGATCAAAATAAGATATTATGCTTTGTTTTGTATTATGCGTCAAGACTGAGATCATCATTGGACGGGGAAGCTAGGCGAAATGTGAAGAGGTAAAGAAATTCACAACACAAATGCCATTGAGGTCGGCTCCGCCTTGTCGATAAGTTTATCCAGCCAAACGTATTCATCATCTTGCGGGTCCCAACTAGGGAGCCGAGCGGCTCCAACCAAAGTTCGAAGCCAGAGACTTCATTCATGTTGACCAAGTCACCGGCCGGTCTTTACTTCTTCCACCCGGATCCCGGTCGTTCAAACATCGCGTCGCGGGAGTCGGCATGTTGGCATATATGACACACGGCTCGGCCACCAAAGCCTGGTGCATGAAACAATTGTGTCAAACGATCCTTTTTGTAATAAAACAGATTTTACGGTTGAGCAATTTGTACATAGTGTTAGGAGCGGCACCTCCTAACCAGTCGACCGGTGGCGCTTGTTTTTGACAAGAACCAAAGGGTTCTACCAAGTTTTCTTCAAACAGTCTCGTTGATCAATGAAAAGAATGTTCCTGAAGATTCTGGTACTATTATTGGCAAGTAAGGAAGGAAAAGGAACGAAAAACATTTAAGAAGGTCGCCAAATACCTATAAATGTAACCTGCATGCTCTACGTTTTGTTGTCATTCGGCAAACACACGGTACGAGAAGTCCGCCATTGTTGTTTTGTCAGCCACTCCAGGGCCGGAGTCGAACAGCCAATCGGAGTGAAGCCGTAACTATAGCAGAGATCGACGGTTCACACAGCCAAATGGTGTGAAGCGATAGTCATAACAACTGGCGACAGAGGTTTCTGGAACTGAGGAACCCAATAATGTCGGTTTCAGTGGAAGAATTGACTTTCATTCCCCAGCATCAGCAAAAGCAATTTGAAGAAGGTCAATCAAGGTTGATAGAAAATCTTTAGCGCCTGGTTGTGCAGCAGGCAAGACCAAGCACTAAAAAGCAGTTCATTTCAGCGGATGCCGTGTCGAACAGTATTTGCGAATTTCAATATGACCCAGATGCCGGCGTTACCTTCGAGTCTTGGTTCAGATGCTGGTGACGGATAGAAATGCAGGCTGCTTCTGCGGAAGTTTGGGGCGAAGGTTCACGACTGGTTCCTTAATTTCATTCTTCCAAAGTGCCCTAAAAATTACGCTTTCGGTCAACTAGTACCTTTGCTAAATGACCTTTTTGGTGAGCAGTTTTCTCAATTTAGTGTCCATTACAACTGTATGTAGCTCGTTAAGTCTGCGACGGACGATTTCGTTACTTATGTAAGCCACGTCAATCGTCACTGTGAGCGATTCAAACTTAGGGAGATAACGGACGCCCAGATGTCAAGATCAACTCGATGCTGAGCTCTGAGCTGACACTCACGCTTTATAATCCCAAGTTGGCAATATTTGTGGCCTCAGATGCTTCACACTATGTAGCCGACGCAGTCATTTCACACCTTTTCTCTGACAGAGCCGAGAAACCAGTCGCTCATGCCGCTTGTTCACTGACCCCAGCAGAAAGACACTACAGTCAAAGCGAAAACATGGCTCTAGTCATCGTGTTTACTACAAAGCATTTTCACAACATGCTATCTGGTCGTCAATTCACTCTAATAACGGACCACAAACCTCCGTGCCATATTCAGAGTTAAGAAAGAGATATCATACGCCGCTGCATATCTGGATGTTGTCTAACCAAGAAGCACTGCGTCAACGGATGTAACATGTACTCAATAGAATAAGCAAATACGGATTTCGTTTGAAAATGAACGTGAGTTTCTCATGAAGTCCATTAAATACCTTGGGTTTATCAATGACGAGAATGGGCGACGACCGGACTCGTTGAGCATCAAAGCGATCAAATGCGTGCCGCCACAACAGCATGTAGCGAACCTGAGTTAGTACAGTGCCTACTTACCCTCCATGCATGACTTACGCGGGCCGTTAAATCAACTGGTAAAGAAGGATACCCCATGGGAATGAACGCCAATACAATCGGAGGTACCAAGCAATGGCGTGGAGTTTCGATGTTGGACAGATGGTTCTGGTAAAAGACTAACGGAAGGAAAATATCGCATGGATGCGTGGCTTAATTACAAAAAGGTGCGGTCAGATATGCTATGAAATAACCGTGGGCAAAGAAAGGTGGGTCCGCCACATCAACCAGCTCAGGGGAGGTGTTTTGCCAAATACGAGTGAAGATGTCTGGGCGACTCCTATGGAAATACTCTTGAATGAACTCAAGTTATCGAAGACTGATGCAACTCCTCAAGATGAACATACTACACCCTGTGTTACCCCTAAATGTCGGCCCAGAAGGTGGACAGACCGATGCAGAGTCCCCGTCACACCGTTCCAACTCAGTCACAGAATGAAATCGTACACCAGTGGACTTCGAATGGGGAGATATTCGGAGGGGCACCTCCTAACGAATCGACCGGTGGCGCTTGTTTTAAACAACCAACGGATTCTGCCAAGATTTCTTCGAACAGTCTCGTTTATCGATGGAATGAATGTCCATGAACATTATGATGCTATTATTGGCAAGTAAGGAAGGAAAAGGAACGAAGAACATACAAGAAGGGCGCTCAATACCAAATGGTTCCAACGATTACACATTCGATCATCTTGTACCTTTGTTAAATGACATCTTTAGTGAGCGATCAACTCAATTTAGTGTCCGTCACAGCTGTATGAATCTCGTTAAGCCTGCGACGGCAGATTTCGTTACTCATGCTAGCCACGTCAGTCGTCACTGTGATTTGGCTGACCAAACAACCTCCTCGTGGCGCTAGCTGGGTGGTTCGGGATTAGCCCGCTCCAGCGAATGGTTCGGCAGCAGTGTTCCAGGACGTGGTGGGTTTTCGCCTTGGCAAGTGTTCTCCCTATAGAAAGCCACATATATCCGCTCGATCACACTGTGACGTGGCGGATATGACTCGCCAGTAAATAAAGTCACGGCCCTTTGCCTCGCTCTGACTGGCATTGTAATTTCAGGGTGTGTTGGGCCCCTGGTCCTTTGCAGGACCTAAAGGCGTATGAACCACTTGTTTGGTCACCGGCTCCCAACGGGTTGCGACATCCTCATATCGCCCCGCTGCCTTGTAGGTGAGATCCTTGACCAAAGGCTCTGAGTAGGGCCCCTTAAGACCACCCTCCACTTCGGCCTTCGCAACCGGGTAATATCGCACCCACTGATGAGTCATGAACGGACAATACTACTGCTTTCTATCGCTATGTCTACCTACTCTACTGTTCCTACTGCTGAATCTCCAGTCACAGATCGTCCCACGTCTCATTATTCAACTACACTTATGTTCTCCCCGGTCACCGCCAACAGCAGCTCACTGGTCGCACCTGACGGAAGTCAGAGTCAAACTCTTGATGTTCGATGCCCCGCGA